TCCATTTTAGACTTTATTGCCTTGGTATATTACTTATATGTGAAAATTTTTTATTTTTAATTTTTTAAATTTTTTTTAAAGTTTTTTTATTTATTTTTATTTTTTCAAAATTTATTTATTTATTTATAAAATTTTTTTTAATTATTTTTAAAATTTTTAAAGTTTATTTTTATTTTTAAAATTTTTTTTATTTATTTTATTTTTTTAAAACCTTTTTATTTTTCTAAATTTTTAATTTTTTGTTATTTATTATTTTTAAATTTTTTAAAATTATTTTTCATTATTATTTAATTTTTTAAAATTATTTTTTAATTATTTAATTTTTTAGAAAAAATTTCTAGAGAGAGAAACTCAAAGAGAAGGAATTGATGAGAGACAAATATAGAGAAAGAGGATTGTGAGAGAGAATTTTAGAGAAAGAAATTAGTTGAGTGCAATATAGAATAGAGGTGTATTGTGTGTTTATTAACCATATTCAACCCATCTTGACCCTCAAATTAAGTAATTAAAAATTATCCAACCATCTTGACTTTCAATTAAATATGGTTCACCCATAATTATTAAAGAATGTACGGATATGGGCGGGTTGATGGTTCCTGACCCATTTTGCCACCCCTAATTATAACCCTAGATGTGGACAAAAGGATATGCATATATATTTTTAACCTTAACCCAATTAAGTATTTATTTAGTCTTAATTTGGGTTAATTTCTAGTTAAGTAGTGGGCTTTTCTTTAACGATCTATAAGCCCTCTTAAAAATTCATCGGCCCATTATATATAATTACCATTTTCACCCTTTGAAATTGGTCAATCTCGCTCCAGGACATAACGGTATTGGCAAGAAATCGAATGATAAGCATTTGAAATTTTGCTTTCGAATCGCAATTTTAACTTAAATAGTGCATGTGTTATAACACCAATACACTTACTCTAAAAAATAATAATAATAATAATAATTAGTCAACCTCAACACCTCATTATCTAATCCATAAATTTGGCACTTACAAATGTATAGGCCGATGCACATGACATCATCCATAAATGGCAACATTTTCAACTTCTTCCTTTGCATGAAACCTTTTGCATGTTTTTTTAATTTTAAAGGAATAAATTAACAAAGTGAGCATAAAAATATATATATAAAGAGCATACTTTTGATTATATCTTCTGACATCAACATGGCCAAAAAAAAAAAAAAAAAATGTATGAAAACTGGAAAAGGACAAAACAACAAGTCAAAACATTTCTTTGGAGTGAAGGAAGATGGGAGCACTATGGAGAAGGTTGTTCATACCATGCCCTTTAGTACTTTAATTATATTAATAATGCTCATAGGATAAACAATTTCTTATTAAAAAAAATAATAAATTAAAATCGAAAGATTAGTTGTATTTGAAGCCGACATCGATGATTTAAAAATCAGATATTTCAATTAGGAAATAATCTCTTCACATACAAAGATAAAAGTGCTTATATAGATCCCTTGCATTGAATTAGTCTTTTTAACATTTGTTCACCAGTAATAATCTTAATCAAAGGGTGAGGATCCGTTTTAATAGAAAAATCCGCCCCTTTGATCGAAAATCAAGATTTCAAATTTTCTCAGAGTTCTGCAAGAAATAAAAAAAAAAAAATAATAAAAAAAAATGAATGATATAGAGTGTATTAATAGCATATATGGTCATTTTGTCTAATTCTTCATATGTTTCTGGTCGATTGATAGCTATATATATATAAGATGATTCTGTTCACATATGATGATGCTATGCATAATCCCCCACTTATTTGCAACCTCAATTCTCAGATATATGATTTCCTACAAAGCTAAAATACTATTTTATTCGGGTGCTTATGTTTTCTTTAAATAATGTCAAATTTATAATCTTTGTATGTGTACGGTCGATACAATATATTCAATCCGATAATTATTTTGAAATAAAATATGTTTTTTAAAAGTTACTATGGTAATTTATGTAACCCAATTGAAATTAAATTTGTTCTTTTAAAACTTACTATAATAACTTGTGTAACCCCCCTATTGGCTTGCATAAAAGACTATCATCATTTATATATATTTTCATGGCAAGATTGTTAGATTAGAAGTTAGTGGATCCGAATGTTTGAAATCGGACTCCCTGAGATAATGGGAACAGCCTAATCGCTGGATTACAAAAACCTTTGCAGTATCTGCTTTAACTGTTTATTAGTTCGATTAAATAAAAATATAACAAATATAAATATAAATACAAAAACAAATATACGGACTTTCGAAGCCTAATTTACAAATACATGGAATGAAGTCATGAAAGTTCGAAAAATGAATTCTCCCAAATTGATAAGGTGGACATGGAAAAATAATGCTTATTTATTTTAAAAGGATAATTATTTGGAATTCGAAAATGATGGCTGATGTCATCATGACTTCATAATGTGATTATCGATTCGGTCTTTACTTACATAAAATTAATCGGCCAACTGTTGCAATCTCTATCATTACTCATTCTTATCTCCTTTTTTCAGTTCATTTGACAAGAAACTCCCATATTGTTTTGCCCTCAAAGGGGAATCGATCGAACTCTCGCGTTTCACCTTAGAAAACGTGTTTACTTCATTTGAGTGATGAAAATACCATACAAAGGAAATAGAAAAAGGGAAAAGGGAGTTGGAAATCTCATGACAAATTCCACGTCAAAATGTTTGTAATTTTTCAAAGTTTCATACCATAAATTTCCTCCATGCATGGTCAGATCCAAGTACAAAAGGAAGCAATAAGAGGAAAAAGAGTGTGAAGAGATAACAAAATTAACATGGAATCTGATGAGAGAAGGTGGCACAAGCAATCTTGAATGACTTTAGTGTCTCCTTATCTAGACGAACTACTTGATGGCCTTTCGATTCCAACAGAGAGAGAGAGGGAGCCTTTTTTATCTTCTAACTTTGATCTTTACTTTGTCATTACTAGCTGGAATATATGCATTTAGTGGAGTTTATATCTATACACCAACAAACTTTCTTAGTGCTCTTCTTCTAATAAGCTTAAAGGTTAATTAGCAGACGTATGTTATGCAACTTGACCTTTTTCGACCCCACAGACATGGCAGTTAACAGCTGTACGTTTACTATTTTTCTTTGCCAAGTAATATGCTAAGTCTTAGAGATGTGTAGGTGTATCTCGAGCCGCAAAACTCAGATCTTTAGGTGTTCCCACCATATATTTTTAGGTTCGAATCACCTTTTCCGTAATTCTAATAATTTTTAAATATCTAACTATTGTTAGGATAAAAAATAATAAAAAAAATACTAGGTCTCAAACTTTGTCTACATGATGTGAGATATGTTTAACTTGATCAGTCCAAGCTATTTGTGCTTGGATCAGGATAAGTGAGCTATTATGAACTCTTTCAAGGGTAGTTGCTTTTAGGCAAATATTCTGAATGCCTCCGTACCCCTACCTCATCTATTACTTAGCAGTCATTTGAGGGTCTTAGCTGATGATCGATCCGGGCTATTTCCCTTTCGACCATGAAGTTTATCCCTTATCGTCTCCTTGGCCGACCTTGACCTTTGTTATCTAAGAAGTACAGATACAAATATTATGAACTCTTTCAAGGGTAGTTGCTTTTAGGCAAATATTCTGAATGCCTCCGTACCCCTACCTCATCTATTACTTAGCAGTCATTTGGGGGTCTTCGCTGATGATCGATCCGGGCTATTTCCCTTTCGACCATGAAGTTTATCCCTTATCGTCTCCCTGGCCGACCTTGACCTTTGTTATCTAAGAAGTACAGATACAAATATGAAATACGGGTACAACACGATACAATGATAAATCTTAAAAAAATAAAGGATATAGGTACGGCATTGATATGTTAAAAAAATAATAATAATATAATATATATTATTATATATGTTAATACTATATTAGTTTTTGCCATTTTATTCATATAATCATAAATAAATCAATAATTTTGAATTTAGATTTAGAAGTTTGTTATTGTTTTTATATATTATTTTAAAATTTACTCATAATATATTTTTAAAATGTATTGAATTTTATTTTTCTAAAATAATTAATTACAAATCACCCTGTTGTATCATGAAAGTGTCCAAAACGTTTCATTGTCATGTCTTAGCCGTATCCCACCAGAAAATAAAATATTCACTATTCAGGATACTTTTAACCGTAGTTGACACATGTCCGAACCTGTATATGCGTATTCGGTAAGTGTATGAATATCCGATACCACAACAGCACTATATAAGAAGTATTCGTACTTCCTAACCTGTTATTTTATTTTGAGATCATTTATAATATTGAGAGTTTGCCTCGATTTGGTACCACCACCCTCATATCATGCATCGAAACAGTGTTTTCCCTAGTGTATGAGAGAACCAGCTAACTTTGAGTTCAAGTAACATTTCACCTCTAATCACAATTCATCCGCGGATTCAAAATCAGTCCCTTTGTTTTTTTCATGCAATATAAATTTATAAGAATCATGAATTGACAAATAGTAACATTTCTCTATTAGGAGAGAGATCACTTGGTATATATAATAGATTCAAATTAAACAACAAGCCTATTCACATATCATTACAATTATTATGATATATACTCAATAATGTATGTTCAAATACATATATGATAAATACTAAATAATGCATATGCATGTATCTGGTCTTTTTCATTCCAACAACTTGCATAACCAATGACCAAATGTTCAAAAAAAATATTAATCTACTACACAAAAAAGTCTCTTAATTACCACTATAATAGCGAATATTAGTACTAATTACAAGCTTTAATTGTGTAAAGCACGATTCTTTTGACCCTTTTGACGTGGCCAAAAGTATATCAACTTACAATTACGTGGATTGCACGATCAATAATTAAAAAAATGATGATTAATGAGGTCCACACATATGTCATGAGATAATTAAATACTAAATTATAAACGTTAGTTAAACAATATATTTCAATTAACTGAAACAACCTCGTCCACAAACTTTTGTTTTTTTCATTATTAAAAAATGAATCACACAAACTTATTGATAATTAAAAATTTACAATGACTCAGTCTCAGTCTTTCTCCTCGTGGCAGTCACGTCAGTAATACGCAAACATATAAGCTGCCACGACAACGTTTTTGTCAAGCTTGTCAATCCTTAGCCATTGGATTGAGAAATTCTAAGAGTATGACTCTCGATTGAACAAATGAGAACACCTTCATATAAAGTTGCTCGTCTTTGATTTGTCTTTATCAGGCCAGCCGGGTGAGTTGGGCCAGCTTCAAGTTTTTCCGAGCCAGCCCGCGTTACCTCTGGGTGGGCCTAATATGGGCCAACAGCGATAATGAGAAGGTTTGAAGAGACTGTGGAGTTGGGCCCAATTAGTAGAACTGCCAAACCGCAGCTAAAATAGAGATTAAACCAACAATGTAATTTGATCGAATGTAGCTCAAATCACAGCCGCTTGATACCAATGAGGCATTAGCAGCCTCAGGATTCTGCACTCCCGATGATTTCTGGCTGTAAAACATTTGTTAAATAAAACAGGATTAACGTACGTTCAAGAACGAATATGAATATATAGATTTATAATCAACTAGTTCAACATTTCAATCGAAATATTAAGCCATAAAGAGTCACAATTTTACGTGAATCAAATCAACGTTTATAATAATTTTTTAAAAAATAAATAATTTACATGTCAAAATCCGAATATAGAACAAGACACAAGTGAGGCCATCAACTCTCTGTCTTGTTTCCAATTTGAACTTGGAATCAATATGTCACATCCCTTTTTGGAAAGTATATATAAAAATTTAATCAAATGGAATCTCTAAAACAGAATTTTTTTTAAAAAATACATAACGTGAGAAGCATATACTACTATACTAGTACATACATACATACATATATATATATATATATATATATCTAGAGAGAGAAAATATACCTTGTGGACGGAGAAGGGCAGAAAGTGATGACATAGTCGGCGGAGGCACATGTGAATGTGCTGGTACCATCGTCATAAGCGTAGCTATAAGCTCTCGGACACGCGCTTTTGAAATACTCCGAGTAATAACTTGGCCTGCACGTGTCTGGAGTCGCGTACGCTCCACTGCAGCAATACTGCGGATCTCCGAAAGCTTCGCACGCGCTCTTACACGCCACGCTCCCGTCGGAGCTACTCACCCTCAGCTCCGACGGGCACGCGCCGTTGAGGTCCACCACACACCCGGTGGCCGTGCAATTCCCTCCGGTGCCACCCTTTGCCACGACCAGCATCGGGAGGTTGTAGCCGTCGACGAGGCTGACGTCGTAGAAGTCTAAACCGCCGGCGCCGTTAAGGGTGAATTCGGCGAGGGTGGCCGGCGGTGAAGCGCCGGCACCGGAGCATTGGAGGTCGCCGGAGCCGCAGTCGCCGGTGACGCAGGTGAACTTGCCGGTGGAGTCGGAGGCACAGATGGTCCGGCCCCATAACCGACCCGACCAGGAGGTGGGTACTGAAATGGAGGTGGATTCGGCCGGTTGGAGGGTGAAACCGGTGGTGGAGAGTGGTGGTGTTCCGGCGCTTGATAGTATTCCGGGCCATACTGGGTAGCTACACTGGTTCACTATTGTGAATGTTGCTGAATATACACCTGCAATACCAAATTGGTAAATATATATCAAAACATTACACATACAATCCCACACATACATACACACACACACACACATATATAGTCAATAATAATAAAAAAATGTATAGAATTATGTGATGAATTGAGATTTTCTGCAGCACAACGTTGTACACCACTGTGATCACTTTACATACTATTGCATGAAGTGATCACGGGTGAGACTGTTGTATAGCATAGGATCCGAACACTTATTTGATATGAATCTACGTACCCAAAGTGAGTAGAAGGAGATTGAGAGAGAGGAAAGCGAGAGAGAGTTGGAGACTAGCCATTCTTGAAGATGAAACGGAAGTTTTGCTATTGTTGAGAAATGTGGTGACTAGAGTCCAGAAGGAAATGAAGAGCTCAATGTGTGTGTGTGTGTGTGTGTGTGTGTGTGTGTGTGTGTTAACGTGTGTGTAATATATAAAGGTTTTCTTGGACCGACTTTGCAGACGTACACAAAGTGCCAGAGTTGAGGTCGGCAATTGTGTGAGTGTGTTTTTGCAGAGAGGGACACAAAGTGCTAGAGTTAAGGTCGGCAATTGTGTGTGTGTGTGTTTGGTTTGTATAGGAGAGGGTGTGATCAATGGTGGACGGAGAGGAGGGAGAGTCTATTTAAATAGGCAATTAAGGGATTTATTGGAGTTTGTAAATTGGGCTTTTCGATAGACGCAAGAGCGTTAATACATAATCAACCTAACATGGTCTCACAGTCCTGGCACCACAGGTCCAGCCCAAATTGCCCATGTCATATGGGCCCCACATTCTCTCCTTCTCACACACTCGCACATTATTTCTAGCAATTAAATATACTTTTAATAAGTTATCTTACCTTTAATAAAATATTTATATATTCAACATCTTTCACTTTCTTAAATAAACCCTAAATTTTTTTAGAATTATCTATTCGAAAATTGACATAGAAACTAGTTTTTCTTTGTAGTGACGTATAATTTCCCGTCAATATGCAAATTATACTGATCAGCTTATTTCCATTTTAGACTGACCCAAAAATTGGTATAAATATATACATATACTTTTTATCATTCACATTAACCTTCTTTTATTTTGTTCTATTGTTTTATTTATTTTTTGTTTACTAGTTGTCAAGGGAAGTTCAATTTTAGTGATGAAACATCAAACTCACACTGAGAAATTTTTACGTTTTTTCAGTCAATCACAACTCATTACGTAAGCAAATTTGTCAATTTTATTCAAATTTTAATTTTTATGTCAAATTGTAATTAGCTGGAACCTGAAACCATATAATCGTTTAGAGGTCCAAATTAAGCATAAGTTACCACATAAACAAACTGCATTAAAGAATATCAAATCAAGCTCAATTAACACATATTGCCTAGAACAACCACCACACATTAGGTAATGACGGAAAGACTTAAAAAAAACAAAAAAACCAAAAAAAAATTGGGCAAAAATGAGTTGTTTGCATCCAAAAATGTGTTAGATGGGCAATTAAGGAATAATGCATTGTCTTTCCAACAAGCCCCAAACCAAAGAGAAAGGTTGGAATTACACCTAAACCAAAAAAGTAACCATTTTAGGGATTTCGAAGAGTCAACCATTTCTAAAATGGACAACATTTTAAACCCAAACCAAAGAGAGAGGTTGGAATTACATCTAACCATTTTAGGGATTTCCAAGAGTCAACCATTTATAAAATGGACTACATTTTAAAAATAGAGTCAGATGCACAATCTCGCGCTAGCTTAGCCCTTGGATCATATGTAGGTTTCGTTGTGGGACCGAAACGATTCAACGGTTAAAATAGTGTAGTCACGGCCAACCCTAGCATTTCATGGCTAATTTGAAAACAAGAGGCTACATTAATAAGTTCAAAATATAAATTTGGGCTAAAAAAAAAAATGGCCTTTGGAGAGGTAGAGGAGGTGGCTCAATTCAACTTCTCAGTTGTCAATTGTCACTGTCCACTTGCCAAATATACTATTAGAAAATTTTGAACTAGGGTAAGCAAAATGAAAACACTCCTATTAATCCAAAAACATAGAAACTACTGCTATAGCAAATGCCATGTTGTTCGAGTGGCACCCTATTCAGAATATCCTCCCCCTCCCCTCTAACCACTAGCATAGTTTATGTTCCCGAACCTTAAACCTTCTAACCAGTAACCCATAACAATATTACCATAAAAAAAAAAGTTTTTTTTGTGTGTGTTGACTTATTATAGCACTGTATATCTAAACATGCGACAGTCTTATCATATTTAGGAAAAAGCTTGCCTTAGACCATATAAGAAGAAGATGCCTACTTATATGGCCCAAGACAAGCTTTTTCATAATGTTATTGATCTAGGCTTAACGTGTAAAAAAGAAAAATGGAGGTGAATTTGTTTGTTAGATAAATATAATTACATTGAATGCCACAACACATCGGGGTAGCGGCAGTGGAATCGTAGTGGGCTCATAACCCAAACGTCCCCGGATCGAAACCCGGCTGTGATGTAAAAGAGTCGGCTTCCTCCGTTACAATTTTTCATTTCTCTTTTCATCTTCCAATTATACATATATAATTACACTGTGATCCACTATGGGACCTAAACGATCCAAGGGCTGAAATAGTGGGGTCACAACTGCCCCCAGCATTCTCATTATAAGTATTTTAAGCATTTTATTTACATTAATAAGTTTTAAATAGAAATTAGGCCACGAAAAAAAAAAAAAAAAAAGCCCTTTGGAAAGGCAGAGGAAGTGTCTAAGTTGTTCTATTGCCAAAATATATTATTAGAAACTTTTAAACGGGGATAAGTAAATGGAAACAGTTACTATTAATCCAAACACAGTCAGAAATATGTTAACACTCACTGATTATGACCCCAACCCTAACCCTAGAGCCTTAACAGCATTTCTAACTCCAACAATATCTTCCCGTCTCCTCTTACCTGACTGGTTGAGGATTCCATTGAGACCAAACGAGAAAAAGAAGATAAAAGGTCTCCTCTCCCACATGACAGGTAGAGGATTCTGAGTCTCCATCGAAACTAGAGAGAAGAAGAAGAAGATAAAGGCTCATGGCCATGATTTACACTTTTAAACTACTTGCTTGTAATGGCTTACCTCATTGCTTCCTCCTGTGTGACCTTGGCCTTCATTGAACAACATTCCTGTGAAGACAGGATTCCAAATTTACTTTTGCAAATCACAATTCTCTAGCAACTGCAATTTCAATCGAAGCTGCAATGAAATGAAGGTCCCCACATAGATTAAAAAAAAAAAAATTAACCTTTTTGTTTCATTAACCCTTCTCAACATCAAAAGAAGAATTTTCATTGGCAGCGCACCCTTCTTTGATCAAACGAAACAGTGCTACAGCTACTATTCCAGAAACGACAATTCACTAAGCTGTACTACTAGTGGCATCAGTTTAAAACTGTGATAAGCCAACATTTTGTTTTTCTGTCTTCCAACTGCAGAAATTTATGAAGGTTCCAAATCCTTACTTATTTTTCTTTGCCTGTACCTTTTACAAGAAAACCCTAGTGTGTGCTGTTAGTCTTTTGAATAAAGTACAGCCTATTTTAATCATCCTCTAATAGAATTAAACAGAGCAATCTAAGACCCCAATACATTGCACTAAAAACATTCCAGTGCAAACTGAAAGAGACTCGAAAACTAATTGGAGGTTACACCAAACAACAAAAGAAAGATTCACGTTATAATTTCATATATAACAGAGAGGAATGCGAATACAGTAGCCACATTATGGCAAGAGATCCATATTAATAACCGAAAAAAAAAAATTTAATAATAAAAAAATAAAAATAAAAACAATACAAGAAAATTTGCATTCAAAATCCAAGAGCTTACCCCAAGAAGTAAGCATCATTCACATTTTCCTTGGGATTCATCTGCCTAAAAGGCTGCAAGACCACTTGATGGCAGCAAGCCCTAGAGTTTGATCGGCCAACGATCCCTGAGGCAAACAAGGCTTATGCAGTGGCGTAACTTTGCCTGAGCTAGAATAGCAAAGAAATTAACTCTCTTGTTGTCTTAATCCTTGTTACTACCCCTTAGATCATTCATACCAGATAAAGTGCATAGTCAACTTGTATCAGAATTTAAATAAATTCATTACCTCTCTAAGGCAAAGATTCTTCTAATATTTTCAAAGGATGAAAACAAGGCAGCTAATAATCTACCCATGCGAAAATTAAACTTCCACACCTCAATCGCAGGATGCAAAATCACCATTGCTAAACAGCAAGTAAGGTACTATACTTCAAACCGTTCAAAAGGTTAGAGTACGAATAGACTCCAAACCTAAACAGGCTTACAAGGATTGATAAATTATTTAATATTCTTATTTTGACCTCAAGACTAAAGAAGCCAAGTTAACACGCAATTCATAATTATATTGGAAGTAAGAAAATATGGAGTTATGCATATAACAAACAAGAACATCATACATGTGTAAACAATGTGAATGGAATTAAGAGAATGGTTATAGAGTTTATCAAACAATGGTTATAGAGTTCATGTATATAGTTTTTCTTTCCTTTTTTACATTTTTGCTTCATTGTTGTGGAAGGGTATTCAAAATGCCTCTTATAGTTCTCTTCTCTCCCAACAAAATAAATTGCATGAGCCGGGTACTATTGCAGGATGCAACAAAATAAATAAATTCATTACCTCTCCAAGGCAAAAGATTCTAACATTTTCAAAGGATGAAACAAGGCAGCTAATAATCTACACATGTGAAAATTAAACTTCCACACCTCAATCGCAGAATGTAAAACCGCCATTGCTAACCAGCTGCATCCTCCACCAAAATAACATCATTGCCATGCCAATTTCCTTTTTCCACTCTTTTTTGAAGACCACAAAAGCTAGTTACACTAGTGCTACCATCACACCTAAGCTACTGCCCACACCTAACCAATACCCCTATAACAGCACAAGTGCAAGATGGCCAATTCCACCTTATTCAAATTTATGAAAAGTAAAAACAAAAAAAATCAATTGGCATTAAACTTTCATACCTTCAAGGCAACAGCAAATTCCTCAAACTCCAGGTGATTATGTATGGTAGTAACACCTCATCAGGCTCATCTTGTTAGGACAAAGGGGAGAAGAAAGGATGAAGTAAAAAAAATTGGTTTCCATTTTTCATAAAAGGGGGCAAAATCGGAATCACGGACTACCATTTCCTTTCTCCCCACATCCTCAACTGTTTGGGAGGAAAGTGAAAGTATGTCTGCAAGAATGGCACAGTCCTCGTTTCCTCATAAATTGTCCTCCTTCCCTTCATCAAATATAATCCGAAATGCGTATAGTATGTGAAAAGGTAGCACTAGGACAAAAAACGGCAAATTAAAATCTAACGGAATAAACATGTTTACTACACTGGACGTAACATTATACTACCAACGGACCTGAAAATTTAACTGCATCCAACAAATCTAAGTCACATTCAGCGTGCTTGAGCAGGAGCGGAAGCAAGAGCTTGAGAATGTCTCAATTTAAATTTTTTTCAGAGCAGGAGCGTTTCCAGAGTCATTTGATTTTACATTTTATGCCTATATTCCATATGATATATTATCATATTAATGTATTATATAATCATCATTAGCTATTATAGTATTATATATATAAAAAAATATGAGTTGGAAGATAGAACAAAGGTGGGCGGTAGAACTGCCTTGCCATATAATATCTCTAGTTCAAACCTCTTGGCAACTGCTTTTGCCATCATCAAATGTTAAAAATAAAAGTAAAACTAGAATTAAATCGCGCTTGGATCCACGGATTGTGGGATGAATGCAAAATTTGAAAATCCCGAGCTCGCCGATTTTGTACATTCTGCTCTAAATCAGTTGATCGAAACGCTGAACTCATGAATCCTGCGACTCAGAGAGGCCATAGCTTCACATCCATTAAAGCCTTAAGCACAAGTACTTCTTAATTAGGACTCGTGCCACATCAATAATAGACTAGTTCTTTATCACCTAGGTGAAGCATGGAAAATGAGAACGCATTGAATCACAAGACATCCTCAGCAATTCCGTTTTCCTAATATTGGGACCAAGCACTTGTCAAAAATAAAGGTTCTATAATTGGGCATTGGTAAGACAAAATGTAGATTTGAAGAGGTCCCAAGTTGAAAATTCTTCAGTTAGAATGAAAAAATAATAATAATAATAAAATTTATTAGTAAAACCAAAAAATTGTCGTTTACTTCAGCCAAAAATGGATATATTTCCCCACAAATTAAACAAAATTTTGCAAAACTCAACCGAAATACTAAAAACTTTAAATTCAGAATATGCAAAGTTGGCTGACCATTCTGTTACATTGCAGAACTTAGATAATGTAAAAAATATCTAATAATATGTCAGGTGACTGAATTAAGCAGAGCAAAAATATAGGTCCATCATTTTTTGATAAGTAAAATATAGGTTGATCATAGAAGAAGCTAAGGGTTCTGAATGATCAGCTATTATATGCTTACATAAAAAAGAAGACTATAAACTGTCTTCAGTCACTCTTCATGGCCTACACTGAGCGAACAACCTAAAATTAACTGGAAAGAGAGAACCTTTAATACATCACACGAGATTCAAGCAACATTAGACTAACATGTCACACAAATTTCAATATGAACAACTGAAGAGAAAAATCATTTAGCAAAATCATCCAAACTTCACTGACAAGGAAAACAAAGCTATGACAGGTTCAGTAACAGACCCACCATCTATATATGTACCATACAGGAAAATTCTTCGCAAAAAGTGGATCACAGTCATCTTAAAAGACGAGCATTGCAAAAACCATCCTAGATATAATCCACCAAAACCAGAAATCAGAACTGAATATCGATCCACCATCTATATATGTACCATACAGGAAAATTCTTCGCAAAAATTGGATCACAGTCATCTTAAAAGACAAGAATTGCAAAAACCATCCTAGGTATAATCCACCAAAACCAGAAATCAGAACTGAATATGAACGGTAAATGAAGGCATAAAAAAGAAGATCAGAAAAAGAGATCATATAAGATTACTCCTTTTCGTTGGGGCAATCTCTAGCGAAGTGACCCTCCTCCCCACAGTTAAAGCAAGAACCCCGGCCGCCGCCGCCGCCTCCTCCTCCTCCTCCAAACCTTCCAAAACCACCGCTGGTACCTCCACCACCCCCAGGGCAATCCCTTGAAAAGTGCCCAAAACCCCCACAAGTATAACAAGCGCCAGCGCCAGCATCTTCACCACGTCTTCCGTCAGTACAATCTCTCCTTAAGTGTCCGAACTCGCCGCAGTTATAACAAGCCCCACCTCCACCTCCACCTGCACCACCACCTCCACCTCCACCTCCACCACCACCACCACCACCATTGTAGCCCTGTCGGGGGCAATCCCTGGAAAAATGCCCCGTCATGCCACAATTATAACACTCACCTCCACCTCCACCTCCACCACCACCACCGCCACCACTATAGCCCTGTCGCGGGCAATCCCTGGAAAAATGCCCCGTCACGCCACAATTATAACACTCACCGCCACCGGCTCCACCGCGATACCCATTACCTCCCCCACCACTCCTTCCACTGCTTCTATATCTGCCGTTAAACCCATATCCACCATCACCATCGCCATCGCCGCTGCCGCCGCCACCAAACCCCCCACCACCACCACCACGGCCGCCTCTTCCGCCGCCATAACGCCCATAACTCTCTTTCCTGATCTGATCAACAGAAGTGCCATTTGGACCGGTCACGTCAACGGCTTTGCTGCGATCATTCTCCAAGACGATCAAGAACTCAACCTCCTGACCTTCTTTGAGGCTTCGAAAGCCGCCGGATTTGATCGCCGATTGATGAACGAAGACATCATCGCCGTCGTCGTCCGGTTTGATGAAGCCGTAGCCCTTCTGGTCGTCGAACCAACGCACAGTACCTGTCGATTTAGCGTCCTCGTCCGCCATCGATCGATTTCTCGAAAAATCGATCTCTCTCAGAAACGAATGCAAAAGAATAGATCTTTCTATATATTTATATACATTCGCATATAGATCGAAAGTAATATAGAGAGAGAGTAAACCGAAACCTAGTGAAAACTGAAAACCCTAATTTGTATCGGCACGTTGTAATGGCCTTTTGATTTCCCTATTTATTTGGGGGACTTCGCATTTCCTACTTTATCAAAGTGTAAGTGTAACCTGAGGTGGTCCTCATGTTTGTTGGTATGGGTCCTAGGCCAGTAAACGTAATTTTCATCTGATCCAAAAAAATCTGATACTCCGTAAGATTTTCCTCCAATTCAAATCCGATATGCTGAAGAATTATTTATTATTTAATTTATATTGGATTTGTTAATTAAATATCAAATGACGAATTATTTATAATTAATTTATATTCAATTTGGTTATTAATTGAATATTTGATTCAAAAACCTGATATATAATTTTTTGTTAAAGTATTTTATTGTTTTTTAAGAGATTAATAAACAATAAATATAAAATAGAGAGAGAAAGAGAGTGAGAAAAGGCTGAGAAGAAAATTAAATTTTAAAAAAAATCAACTAAAAAAGAGTAGAAATTGATGTGTTTGGCTTTTAATTAAGGAAGTAATATAGATATAAAGTAAAGAGAGTGAAGAAGAAAAAATATATTTTTTAATAATTTATAAATATTATATATTATGTTTTATCAGATTTGATCAATCATAATTCATATATGGTTTGTTTAATTATTGAATTATTGAATTTTGAAAGCTAACAAAGTTATCAAATTAAATGTTCCACAATACACTTGAGTTATAGGATTGATTGGATAAAAAATCGATCCATTAAGTGGTCTAATGAGTCATCATCTCATTGTCACGCTTATAATTACAAAAAATATAATATAATCGCATTAACATTATCATGCAATTCATGTCGAAATATCAAATTATAAGGGCCTGTTTGGAAGCCCATATCTGTTTTGTTTTGATGTTTTGGTTTTGTTATTTGGGTCAATATCATGTTTGGAGTGGGCTGATGTGGTATTGAATAGTGCCAAAACACTACCAGATTTGGGCCAAAACCCATATCAACAATTTGGTGATATTAGACTGATATGGCACTGTAGCGGTGATACCAGCCCAAAACAAAACCAAACTAACCCTCGTTTTTACTGTAGCAGTGATATCACGTATATAAGGTTGCACATCAGATTTTAGGGCATTTTTCAGCGTCGTTTCTCTCTCTTAGCGCAGCTCCTTGGAGGTAATTTCAGTGGCGATCCAACTGTCTTTTGACTCCATACACAACCTCTTCCACCACTGATCTGGCAGAGCTCCTCCACCAGCTACCTCCTACCATTTTCGCTTCTCATTTATTTGTCTTCTCGGAGGTCGGTTGAAGCGATTTCATTTGCGCCTCTCATCTCTTTCTATTCTCGCAGATCGGGGTTGGCAGACCATATATCAAATGCTTTTGTCTGCAAATCTTTCAAAAAGAAAGACCAATTTCATCTCAGGCTCGGCTTTCCTATCGTCTCTCACTATTCTCTGAAACCCTAGCTCAGTGGACAGCATTCGAATGTATTTCTCTATTATGTGAAACCCTAGCTCAATGATTTTGAGTTAATGTATTTATTAGTATAGATTTTCTGTGATATGTTGGCCATAAACCCTTTCGTGAACCAAAATTCAAATTTGTGATATGATTCATGCTATATCATTCTGTGATTTTCTGTGATATCATTCATGCTATACACACACACACACACACACACCCACCCACCCACACACACACACAAACATTTTGAGTTGGTGTATTTAGTATAGATTTTTTGGCATTAATGGATGAATCCTTCATAGGAGCACACTGGTGTAAAATTTCATAACCAAAATATGATTTGTTTACTTTTGGTTCATGTCGATTTCAGGTTTTTGTTAAGTTTCAATATTTTTTTTATTCGTACAATATTTTACGATAATCAAATATCAGAAAATAAAAAATATTTTCGGAGCCTACCATTTGTTGGATTGACAATATCTACTATTTTCTTGGTGCAAATTCGGTATTTAGGCTATCCAAGTGGTACAAAACCAAAAGGTCCAATACTAACGGCTTAATAACGTATGACATTTACATACACACACAGTACATGGTATTTGATTCACCAAAGATTTTCTTCATTGAGGTTTTTGTTTCAACTAAAAAAAACAAAAATACAATTTATATGTATATATATTAAAAATTAAATCAAAGGATAAAAAAGTCAACACAATAAAATAAACCATATGGTTTGGTAGCTTGTGATTGTCTTACGAGAATAGTTGTTTGTTTTTTCTTTGGGTAATTAGTGATTATGAGAAAGAATATATAGTTAATTAAACAAAATGACAATGGTTAAAGTTTTTCTCAAGCCCCTAAACATGGAAATCCCAATAAAGAAAAAAAATTGGTAATTCCAAAAACAAATTCTATTGTAATGTCTCATCTGTAAACTAGGAAAGTTGGGAAGCACTTTGAAAATTAATGAAGAATTTAATAATCAATTTTTTATTTATTAATTTATGTTATTATTGTTTCCCTACCGAATACTCCAATTTATTAGCAAAAGGTAGTGTTGAAGGTCATGACCATGACCGATGATAAGACAAAGCAGAAAGCAATTGAGGCTGCCGCTGATATTTTTCGTATTCCTCTGCTTTCAGTATTTATTTATTTTTCTATCTTGTAGATATAGATCACATGATATTTACTTTATTTTATTTATAATGGGCAGTTGCACCATTGGGATTTATAAGAAGCATTCTCCAGTTGCTGCAATTCCAGGAAGTTAGTGATGTCTAAGTTAATCAAATGGAGGCGTATACAAGTATAAAGAAGTGTGTGTACATTTTATGGAATGAATTTTAGTGATTTCCAGTTGTGTGTACATTTTATGTAAGTATAATGAAGTGCGTGTATATAAACATGAATTTTTAAGGAATGTCTAGGTCCTTATATGTGCAAGTATATATGTGAATGGTGCAACAACAATTTATGAAATTTGTGATGTACAAAAAAAAACTTGTGGTTTGGTGTGTTATTTATGATTGATTAAAATTCTACAAAATATTTTCAACTACTTGTTTAGATGGCAATAATTTTTCTAGCAGGTTGTTTGATGGCATGCCTCTCTTTTTATATAATTAATTTTTTTCGGTGTGATTTATTGTTCAGTCTTGTAAGAGAGGGATCTTCCTTGATTGCTTACTTTTAATCTTTCTTCCTATTTATCAATTCTGGTTATGGTTGGAGATTGTATGAAATATTCAGAAGTTGGTTATCAAAATTAATGCTTAAGAAAATGAGAAATGGTCTCATAAGTTAACAATCAAAATATTAACACTTTGAAGGATCTCCAACAAAAAATTTCAAACTAATCTCAATAAAGTAAAACCATTCAGAAGCTTCAATGTCCATGATAAGTAACCCTCAACTTTGACCAATTCAAGAAGATCAATGTTTTGGCTTTACTTCTTGTTAGTTTCAATTACAAAGATCTCTCTCTCTCTCTCATTCATAATGAATTTATAATATATATATATATATATATATATATATATGAAACAAAACAAAGTTAAATGAAGTGCAAGTCAAAAGAAAAAGATAAATGGAGTGCAAAGATCTCCTTTAATTGAAAGATTATTACAAAGTTAGATTTGTAATTTGGTTGCCACTAATCATGTTTATGCCTCATAAATATCCCACATGATCTTATTTATACATGTAAATTTATATTTTAACAAATTATCTCAAATCATTAAAAAAAAAAATGAACTATTACATATAAATTTATAATTGTTTTCATATATATAATTATTCAAAACAAAAACAAAACAGTTTTACCAAAAGTATCCTGATATTGATTCAGAATTCTTGACAACAAAACTAACTTCTCAAACGTGTTTTGTTTTCGAATTCCTTAAAACGCATGACATTACCAAACGCGTTTTCATGTTTTTTATATACAATTATCAAAAACAAAACAGTCGTTACCAAACATGGTTCCGATTTTTACTAAAAACATACCAATACCAAAATGGTTGTTTTCATATCATACCAAACCATAACGCCTATATGTTATCGCGATCCAAACGGGCCCTAAGAGTGTAAACTTTTATTTCAAAATAATACTATTACACCAATTTGATCAAACCTTATATAAACTTTTATTTCAAAATAATACTATTACACCAATTTGATCAAACCTTATATAAAAAATAAAGGTGAATTGAATTAAACCCTTTTACTTGTAGTGTTTTGCAATAACCCTCCTTTAATTTTTTTTTCTTTTCTTTTTTTTTTTTGCCAAAAAAACCCCAACCCAACCGAGGGGGATTACTTCTTTCTCTCATTTTATTTGGTTGAATAGAAAGAAAAAAACAAAGAAGAGGAAATGATATTGCAGTATTTAATTATGCTTAACAAATAACATATACATGCAGTTACTTTTACTTTAAAAACAAAATTTTGATACTTTTCATTAATTAAATGTATAGGAATGCATGCAACAGAAAATATAATTTTATATATTATTATTCAAGAGAGGAAAGAAAAAAGAAAAATATATATATATAAATATAATGTTCTAGCTAGTTTTTTCTAAGTATTTTTTAGCTAAATTTATACAAATGGGTAAATTGAATAAAACCCCCTTGACTTGGTAGGGGTATTTTAGTAAAAGTATTTTCCCTTGATTACATTTTTTTTTTTTTTTTGACACAAAAAAAAAAAAAAAAAAATTAAAAGGGAAGTTTTCTCCAAAACCCTACAAGTCAAATGGAGGTTGAATGCAATTTGTTCACCAATGAATATATATATATATATATATATATGTGTGTGTGTGTGTGTGTGTGTGTAACTTTAAGGAATTGTGTGATTTATCTTAAATAATTTTGATGTGAAATATCTTTATCACTCTATATATGACCTTTTTTTTTTTTTTTTTTTTTTTTATAATCAAAATGATAAAATGTTATTTGATTTTGTTTAAGATTAATCGGACTAAACTAGCTTATCATCATTCACTCTATATATAACCTTTTAACAAAGGGTTCATTTGACAAGCACAGTTGCTTTGACCGAAAGCAAAAACATTGTTTTTGGAATCTGTTTAATACTATTTGTAAGCTTATTTGGTAACACATATTTG